AAAAAGATTTATCCGTATATAAGATTGAGTCTTTTCTGAAACTTATTGTTGTAAAAACAACATCGTTATATTCAAATTACCTGTTCTGCCCATGCCAGGTGACCGTGTCAGCGCGCAGATCTCCCCGTATTCGAGGTGTCGGTCAACGCTTAAGTTATATTTGCTACATGCTTTCCTATTAATTCCCTGTGTTGCCATGGCTACCTGAACAGCATGTATTTACACCTGGTAATTGTGTACTATTTTGATTGACAGGTGGAAATATATCCGTTGTAGCTTGGTCAATGATTTATCGGAAAATGATGGGATGACTTTCATGTCATTCTGACATATTTCTAGTTTAGGTTACAAATTGGCCATGGTTAAATTTCTTTGCCAAAGTCAATGATATATGGGCATTGAATGAAATTCGCCATACAGTGATATATGGCGATGTCATTGCTGTCCTGAACGCGCCAGACCTGGAAGTGAGAGGCTCAAGTATATACTACAAATTTGGTATGCAGATACATTTGATCGAAAATAATTATATGTTGAGCATAAAGATCTATTTGTTAATTATATGAATGCATAAAAATAAAAAAAGCTTTTCAAACTGTTTTATTTCTTTTCAGGTATGTGTACTTGAGGCAACTCAGCCCTATCTGCCTCCAGCAGCTCGACCCTGTGTTTTTCTCATTTGACATTTGAAACTGATTAATAAAACATATTATTGTGTCTTATGTCAGTTACATGTATATTAACCTGAAAACCAGGTAGACACACAATGTAGGTCAATATGACCACACTTGCGATGTCTTCCAATATGACCCGACAACACCCTTTTCAAAATAAACAGTCACTTGTTTTGAGAAGGAAATCTCGCAGTGTAGTATTTGGCAAATGTTAAATGAAACTTAGTGTAACCCTCCTAGCCCCATAGAACGACTTCATAGACTTTTTTAGGGTCTTCTGTATTTATTATTTCCACAGAAACCTATGAATAGAAAGATACGAAACTAAGACCCAGTTACAATATACATATACAGTTTACTTTCACTTAACGAATACCATGGACATGACAACATATATAGTATCACAGGTTTTATTATATCATTACATTATTCAACACTATGAATAAAATATGATGAGGCTTATCAGGGACCTGGGAAGGACAAGGTCCGTCCTGCTCGGCAGCATATTGTGAATCGAATGAGGGTGGTGACGTGCGCGTACGAATAGGACGCACGGGGTGGCTTGAGTATATAAATACTCGTGCAGATCACTCTCTCACAACACTCCACGTTCAGGTTATGACACGAGTATGAGGCAGACAACACATGGACAATGTGTGACTTAGTGCAATGAGTTCACTATGTTACATTAGTTTGATAGGATGAACACAATAATAAGACTACATTTCGTGAATTAATATAGAATTTAAATTAAAAAAAACACCTCTACCTAATGGACTTAATTCGCAGGATTCTAATAGAGTTAATGGCTGCATCAGTTATGCATTTGGCTTGTGCATATAATCAAATCTAATATATACATTCATTTTTACCAAAAACAAATTGCATGAACACAAAAGTAATATATTTAATTAAGGTTTGTTTTTCACCTAATTTCACAACTTAAATGCAACACATAATGATGAATATCACATTCTTGACAAAATTACTAGAGACTAAGATGAACACTAAACTTTGGACAAAGTGTGCTCTTTCAGAAGCTGAGAATTTGAAGATGCTTGCTTTTGTTGTCAATTATTGATAATGTTTTGTCATTAGGATTGAAAAAAAATGTGTTTGACTAAAAGCTTCACCTTCCATACATTTATAATGGTGTCTCATTCATAGTATTACATCTTAGTCTAGACTTTCATTGTTCCCCCCCCCCCCCCATTTCAATGTGAGGAACTATCTTTTCCTTTTGCTATGATGGTACAAATAAGACCTGGTTTCCATTAAATAATGATTTTATAAAAAATAAATTTCAATTTTAGAGTGGCTAAAATGTTACAAAAAGTTCATGACAGTAAATTCTTAGTCATATACAATGTAGCAGACGACGATTGTTTGTTTACATGAAATGCTTTACGTACATTTTTCGGACAAAAGAGTTTCACTAGGGCCGCTTAGGTTGATAAAAATACGCCTAGATCCGCACGTCACATTTAAAGATATTTCCTTAGCTGAGGAGCTCCTTAATCAAATTAAGGAATGTTCATGAAACGCATTTTTTTGTGAAATGTTGGACTTTGATATGTATTTTGATCTCTGATATCACGTTTTTTGTAAGATTGTTCCCAAGGGTGACCACGGTTTCTATGTGGTTTTCGGTTTTGTTTAACAGTAACGGTCTTTTAAACAGCTTATGTAGATGACCTCTTAAGGCTACTAATAACTAAGTGTTTTTTTGGCCATGAGAATATGTTTTCCTTGTCCATTTCGTCGATGTTATTCACGATTTTGTATACTTCGATGATGTCAGCTCGTTTTCACCTGTATTCCAGTGTGGGTATTCCTAGGAATTTGAGCCTCCCAGGGTACGGTGTGTCTGAACAGACGTTTTGTGTCTCTGCATTGTACATTTCTTATTTATCCTATATCTTTTTAGGTCACCTGAGCTTTGCTCAAGTGACCTATTCCAATCGCTTTTCGTCCGTCGTCGTCCGTCGTCCGTCGTCGTCCGTCGTCCGTCGTGCGTCGTGCGTAAACTTTTACATTTTCAACTTCTTCTCAAGAACCAGTGGATGGATTTTTTTCAAACTTGGTCAGAATCATCCTTGGTAGATGAGGCTTCAAAATTGTAAAATTGGGATTCCTACCCCCACCCCTGGGGCCAGGGCGGGGCCCCAAAGGGAAAATTATCCAATATTTCAAAAATCTTCTTCTCCAGACTCAGAGGTACTACAGTGATTTTCTCTACGTGGAAAGAAAGATCATCAGGGGCTTTACTTAAATTGTAAATTTCAGGACCCCCGAGCTATCCGTTCTCCCTTGGGGAGGGGGTAAAGTTTACTATAGTTTATATAGGGAAATAACACTTTTGGGTATATTTTGACAACTTTCTGTAGGAAATTATTTTTACTTGGTGAGAATTATCCTTGGAGGTAGATGGTTTCAAATTGTAAAATTGAGATTCCTACCCCGACCCCTGGGGCCAGGGCGGGGCCCCAAAGGGAAAATTAATCAATATTTCAAAAATCTTCTTCTCCAGACTCAGAGGTACTACAGTGATTTTCTCTACGTGGAAAGAAAGATCATCAGGGGCTTTACTTAAATTGTAAATTTCAGGACCCCCGAGCTATCCGTTCTCCCTTGGGGAGGGGGTAAAGTTTACTATAGTTTATATAGGGAAATAACACTTTTGGGTATATTTTGACAACTTTCTGTAGGAAATTATTTTTACTTGGTGAGAATTATCCTTGGAGGTAGATGGTTTCAAATTGTAAAATTGAGATTCCTACCCCGACCCCTGGGGCCAGGGCGGGGCCCCAAAGGGAAAATTAATCAATATTTCAAAAATCTTCTTCTCCAGACTCAGAGGTACTACAGTGATTTTCTCTACGTGGAAAGAAAGATCATCAGGGGCTTTACTTAAATTGTAAATTTCAGGACCCCCGAGCTATCCGTTCTCCCTTGGGGAGGGGGTAAAGTTTACTATAGTTTATATAGGGAAATAACACTTTTGGGTATATTTTGACAACTTTCTGTAGGAAATTATTTTTACTTGGTGAGAATTATCCTTGGAGGTAGATGGTTTCAAATTGTAAAATTGAGATTCCTACCCCGACCCCTGGGGCCAGGGCGGGGCCCCAAAGGGCAAGACAGAGTGCGGGAGGAGGGTATGCTCTTATCAAGCAGAAGGAATAGGTCCTATATTCCAGGGATAGTGTCTATGTCATAGAAGCTAGATAGATATGAGTTTGAAAAAGTGCAGAAATCCATGAAATGTTTTTAGAGTAGTAGGCTCTACTACCAATGATACATGTATGATTAAGGTGTGGTTGGTCTAGTTCTTATACTTTGTCCAAAAGAGCCTAATATGCAAGAGCTAAACGCAAAACCTTAACGTTGAGTTTTTTTCTAAGTCCAGAAATTTTAAGTTTTTACCAAAAAAATGCAGAAATCAATGATATGTTTTTAGTGCAGTAGGCTACACTACCCATGCTTCTTCTATGATCGTGTTGAGTTTTTTTCTAAGTCCAGAAATTTAAGGTTTTTAGCAAAAAAATACAGAAATCGTTGAAATGCTAGTAAAGAGATAATGCATTTAGCTATACATCCCATGATACACCTATGACCCAGGTTTGGTTGCTGTAGCATTTATACTTTGTCAGAAACAGCCTAACATGTAAGAGCTGAACGCAAAACATTAACCTTGAGTCCAGAAATTTGAGGTTTTTACCAAAAAAATGCAGAAATCAATGAAATGTTTTTAGTGCAGTATGCTCCACTACTCATGCTACATCTATGATCGCGTTTTTGTTGGTGTAGCTTTGTCAGAAACAGAGCTAAACGCAAAACCTTAACATTGTTGACGACGCCATCGGAAAAGCAACGCCTATGTGTGTTTCCGACATCCGTCGTAGGCGACACAATAAACGGAGGGTGTTGTCCACATTTTTTTGTCATTATGTAGTTACGTTTTTCCACTTAAGGTAATAGGATTGTGTCACCATTTCTCAGTAGAATTTCTTCAAATTTTGTTGTTATATTGCTTTAAAGTAAAGAACATTTTCTGCCACAAAGAAAATATAGGTTGTCAGAAATTTAAGGATTTTAAATGGAAATTTATGTAAAAAGGAGTGAATGGCACGGTTCCGCTATCACGTTTCGGATATTTTTATGCATACGTTCCGGACATTAGTTTGCACTCAATTTCACTTCCGGGGAGTTCGCTCCGTTTCACAGGACAACACGATTTTAGAGCGAATTTCACTAAAAAATCATCAGTTTAATGATACGAGATCTATGTAAAAATTAAAATTTCTCAACACTAATATACGCTAGATGACAACATGGTAAGTTGTAGACGATATATTATGACAAGATAACGCATTTTACCGTTACAGTAAGGTGGCAGTACCCAAATCGGATCACTTCCCAAATCGGATCACTTTTGCAAATTAGTTATAACAATGATGTAGTCTTAGAATAGATAGCCATACACCATTTTTTGTCTACAGATAATTAGTTTTTAAGTTCAAATAGCGCAAGAAAACGTTATTGAAACTCAAATGTCAATGTTTTTATTACGTTTTTACTGGACAGTTTCTGTTAGCTTTGTTCTGTATCTAATATGGAAGTTACTGTATAGAACATATATATTTAAAACTTCATTTCAGTTATGATGGAATGAAAAAATGGACTGTGAAAAAACTGAAAGGTTGGTTGGAAGATCATGGGTTGAAAAAAAGTGGCTCAAAAGATGTGCTTGTAAAGCGTGTTTTTCGTGCATACCAGAATCTATTGGATACAGACTCAAGTGTCATCGATAGCGACTTAGAAATGAGCCAGAGAATGCATACAGATTTCTCTAAACTGGACAGTTCGTGGACAACCGTCTCAAATGATAATTTACCAGATATCAGTGACAAAGACATTGAAAATTATTTCTTATATCAAACCAATCCTACATCTGGAAAACGTGCACGATTTCAACGACATCTTAAGAAAGCTAGGAAGTTTTGTGCAGAAAACTTTTTGTGTGACATTGCGTATCATAATGTGTCTGTAGAATCGGAAGTTTGTTACGTAAAAGCGAAGTGTAAGCCATCTATAAGAAATATTGTGCATGTGGGTAATACTGGTCAGACAGCAAATCTGTACAGTCTAAATGTATGTATCACCAAGTCAACAGGACATATAATGACTGCATATTGTGACTGTAAAGCTGGAGAGGCAGGGCTTTGTGCACACGTTGGAGGTTTGTTGTTCACACTTGTGAAAATGAAAAATGCATGCACATCTCAGGAGTGCAGATGGGATAGACCTAGACCCATTCAAAGAAAACCAAGCCCAAAACGTGTTCATGAAGTTAGGTTCTCAACAAACGTAGACACGGAAAAGTTGCGTCCTTACCCTGACACATTCCAAGCATCAGCCTGCAATGACCCGGACATTTTTTTGAATGATTTACTTGAAGGTCTTGAAGTTGTAAACCCAGGATGTGTACTGTATAAAACACTTAAATCTCAACCAACAGACATTTCTTCATTTTTGAAGATTTTTGAACCAACTTTTTCGTATGCAGATTTTGTGGATCTTGACTCTGATGAATGTAAGACAGCATTTTTAGAATTTTTTAACAAACTGAATTTAAATACAGATATTATAGATAATTTAGAAGTTGGAACCAGAGGACAGAGTTTAAATAAAAACTGGGCAGATGCAAGAACTGTGCTGATCACAGCTTCCAACATGGGAAATGTATCCAAAAGAAAGAAAACACAACCTGACAATCTTGTTAAAACTTTGAGAGGGTATAATCCTCCACCAAGCACTGTGAAGAGCCTTCAGCATGGAAGAAAATATGAACGGCAGGCCCTGAAGGACTACAGGAAAAAACATTCAAAGTTTTGTGGTGGAAACGTTGAATTAGATGACAGGGGATTAGTTGTAAATCCTAAATTTCCATATCTTGGGGCAAGTGTGGATAGCTTGGTTACTTGTAGCAAATGTGGTACTGGAATTGTGGAGGTGAAATGTCCATATGGATCTGACAGTGGTGGTGCTACAAAGCTGTTGAGAAGAATGTCACCATTGGACTGTGCTAAAGATCCAGCATTTTTTTGTAATCTTGAAGACAATGATTTGAAATTAAAAGCAACACATAACTACATGTATCAAATACAACACCAAATGGCCATTTGTGAACAGAGGTGGACAGACTTTGTTGTCTGGACTAAAAAAGATGTACATTTTCAGAGAATTGAATCTCAAGACAACTTTTGGAAAGAAAACATGCTTCCATTTTTGAGACTATTTTATTTACGCGGCATGTTGCCAGAAATATTTTTTGAAAGGGTCAAAAGAGGTATTCCACTCTATCATGTCTCTTGAAATTAATATACAAGTGCCAGTATTTTAAAAATCAGGTGGTTTACTACGTCCAATTAACCCTGCTAATCAAATACATGTACATTGTATGCAGGTTTGACATTTGATAAGTACAGTGTATCTATATATATATCTAACAATAAAATAAAGCTACCAGTACCTATGATATAACTCAGGTGACCGCTAAGGCCCTTGGGCCTCTTGTTCATTTGAGTTGGTTAGTAAGAAAATTATTTTTAACTCTTGTTTAAAAAAAAAAACCAAATGATTATAAATTTCACTAAAAAAGTGATATAACTTTTGCCAATAAAATTTATCAAAGCAATATTTTTGTTTCAGTTTTCCTTGGCTTTTTTTGATCCCTGCAGGTAGGGCGTAAGAATTGTACCTGCTGCCCCCAATTGCATGATCGTAAGAGGCGACTAAATTTGGGACCTTTTCTCTTCTCTCCTTTCTAAATAACTTTCCTCTTCCTAATGTCTCCCTTGACAATGCCTCACTTTTGGCCATTTGTTGAGCGTTCGCCCCTGTGAGGAAGGCTTTGGGTTCTGTCCCCTGGCCGAGACATACCAAAGTCTTTAAAAATGGTAGTTTCTACTCCTGCTTAACGCTCAGCAAATTAGGAGTGGGACGACTGGTTCGCCCGTTGTCAGTATAATGTGACCGGGTGGGGCGTCCTGCTGGGTGTCTTCGGCAGTATGTTTCAGTGAGGTAGCACTATAAAGTCGGCATCAGTT